AGGAATACATTATCTCAATAGCCCTCCCATTCTCCTTCCTGTTCCATTTAAGTAGACTTTTTTCCACTTGCATGTTAACATCAATTTATAATCGCTTCAATTTGTCCTTTGTGATATGGAAGGTTTCTCCTCTTGGGCCTTGTATCTACATTTTCACAACTAAGTGACTTTTGTGGAAAAGAGACAGGAAGTCACTTGCATCTCTTGCCTGGTTATCTTCCCCAGTCTCTGGCAGGTACAGGAATGTAAGAATCCAGGACAGGTTCATCCCAGCTGCCAGGACCATTTATTTCCTCCCATGGACCCTTTTCTCCTCATTGCCATAGGGGCCATGTGGACAAACACCATATGGCCCCACCCAGCCTCATATGGCTCCAGCTCCCTAAATGGGGCGCTCAAGAACATAAAAACACTGCAGCATACTTTTATTGCAGCCCCTTCTCATTTTCCTCCATCTGTCTTCCATATGTTTATGTAACTCTATTAGGCTCTTGTACACATAGGCTTTTTTAACGAGGGTTACCAGCTTGGCCAAGATAAAGACCTAGAATTCACCCGTCAGTGATGAGGGGCCTCAATTACTTTAAATATGTGATTCATTTAGTAGTCAAACTAGAACAAACTCATAACCACTTTCCTTCAATTTGTACATAAACTGCATTTTATCTCATATTGATGATATTTCTTTTAATTTTATCAACAAAAACCACATAGTGGCTCTTCTGTTGTATTTTCTCCACGGTGCAATATGTGAAATTTTGAAGAACTGCATGTGACTTCCACTTAGGTGTCCCTATTACATACACATCAATGACTCTTGAAAGTTAACTTTTTCATTTTCATAAAATTCTCCTTTTGATTGGAGAAAAAATTGTTACCATTTTTTCCCCCTCAAGTATCTCTGCAATAATCTGGAGTTTGTCCTGCATATACTCCAAGGAGATGAGTTGGAATGAGGAGAGGCTGACCCCAAGGGGCGTTTTCCTGCCCTGCTTAGGTCAAGCCACTGAGTCCTGGTCCTCCCTACTTTGCTGAGCATGTGGCTAAAGTGACCTATTTGATCCCCATGTTTGTATATTTGAGAACTGAGAAAAAAGTGGAATAACAGTCACTAGACACCATGCACAACACCATTTCCCAACAGGAGGCAACTCCTGGCATTAGCAACAGCAATCAGTGTTAGACAGTGGGGACTTTTAGTGGGCACCCAGGCCATCTTTCACAAGAAACTAATGACAATGGAAAAGAAAGAAGAAAGAAATCAAGGTAGGCCTAATGTTGTCTTTAATAATTTCTGTTCTTATCCATAAGACCTAGACACAAAGTCTTGTATCATAGAATTGTGGTGCTATTAAGAAGAAAGAAAGCATTCGATCCCCCAAAACCTCTATCCCAGTTTAAAGGTATCCTCTTCATGGCAGGTAATGTGCCTGTAATCTAGACCCAACCACCTGTGTAATGCAGTAGTCTGGTAATCAGTACACAGAAAATTATGGCCAGTTCCACGATGATTATCTCTGATGAAGCAGAACACGGGAATAGTGCTCAAATGCACAAAATATTAATCAACTGACATATAAAAACAGCCCAGCAAATGCCACAAGAATATATTTTTCTTTTAGCTTGTTTGTGCACAAATGACAACTCTTAATTACTCCCAAACATATATGCAAAATAAGTTATTTATTTGAATTTTGAGATCAAATAAACAGAAACATTACTGTAGGATACCATTACTGTAGGATCATTTTGCTTTTTTTTTTTCCTTACCCACTTACATATTTCACACACCTTTGTTTCTCTTAATGCCCTTTATAATGCAACATGGAGCCAGACATCAGTTATGTTCAGACAAAACTACTGGGACCCAAAGAAATTCTTGTTCCCGCCTAAGCTGTCATTTCACAACCCTTTCTGCATGGGGAAAACCTGAAGAGTTACTTAGTACTAATATAACCCAAAAATGCCTTTTACTGGTGCAGCCAACATATTGCAAACCATGGACATCACAGGTGCTATGGTGGCAGCAAAAAGTGCATCTTAGTCAGGGGATCAAGTTATAGATTTAGGATACAGCCAGAGGCCTATTCATTGGAATAACTGCTCCAGGCTGGAACAAATTACAAATACTGGTTAAGAGAGGTAAGTACTCATCCTTCTATGAAAAAGAAAGTATGGACAGGTCGTTCTGTAAACGCAATGGTAGTATTTCCGAATGTGCAAGAGTGAAAAAGCTAAATGGGTATTTTGCTCCCAGATTAGAAAGGACAAGAAGTCTGATCAGTACTACAATGAATTATAATTTCTAGTCTGAGAAGCTGTGAGGATGACATTCTGCACAGCAGGGCGTGCTCCGGGCAGTTTGTAAACCACTTGGAAAAAGGCAAAAGTTGCTGCTAAGCTAGTTGCTGAGTACTTGCATTGATTGCTGACATTTTGGCATGTAGGCTACTTTCCCCAGATCAAGCGCGTCCCGCAGGCCAGGTGAATGCTTGCTAACCCCCATGCTTTGTATTTCTTCCCATTGAATGAACACTGGCTATTGAATGCTGGCTTCTTGCCAACTGCCTTTAGGTAAGATTTGGTCAAAACTGCCAAAGAAACAAGAACATCTGTCTTAGTATCATTTTCTTTGTACAGCTACTTTCCAGGCAGATGCTTGGACCTCCATGTGTCCATTTACTGGATTTAAACAAAACAGCACGGGGGCCCAGGGGGAGGGGCACAGAGCATATGCTCTGCCAGCCCACCCTGCCTTTGGCAGCAGTGGGAGCCTTGCCCCTCAGGAGACTGACAAGGGCAGCCACCGCTGAGCGTCTGGAAACGGGAGACACCCCTGGTCTTACCTGTTTCTTTGTCCTGGACTTCTTCCAGGTGCAAGTCATTCAAAAGGTGCTCCAAAATCTTCTCCGGGGTGCCGGACACGACCACGTATCTGTCAGAGATCAGAGAGTCCACCGAGTCATCCTCGGTTGACGACTGTGAGCGGCTGCTCCATCCATCGTCCTCATCCTCCTCGTCAATGTACTTGAAATAAGGCACATCGAAGGTAGGCAAGGGCAGCTCGCGCTCTGCGAGCGCCGCGGAATCCTTCCTCCCTAAATGCGGGTCGAAGACCCTCAGCCGGGAGCTGCCCATTGTGAAGGGCTGCTAACAAAGGCATCCCCTAAATGCTAGAAGATCTTGGCCATGTCTGTCCTTTCACTGGGAACTGAGTCCATCTGGCTGCTAAGAGCTCTGCAGTCAGCTAGAACGCTGGAGAGGCGGAGAAAAAAGGGAGGGAGGGAGGGAAGGGGAGGCAGGGAGAGCGAGCGAGATGGAGCGAGGGAAAGGAAGGCAGGCCGGGGAAAGGACACGGGAGCGCGAGCCTCCGAGGGAACTCACCTCCAATCGCCCTCCGAGCTCCCGCCCAAGGGGGCCGGGCCGCAGCTCTGCACCTTCCTCAGCACCAGGACGTCCTGCTCCTGCTCCTGAACAGTCGTCACTTCATCATCCTGCTCGAATTGGGAGTGGGAGTGACGGATGGAGGAAGGAAAAAGGGAGAGAAAATTAAAAAAGAAAAAAGAAAAAAAAAAAGAAACTAACTAAAACAGCTGCATTTACTCGAGTTGCTTTGCACCTTAATTTCTTTAAAGATTCAGAATAAATTAGGAGTCTGCTGGAGAATCTCCCTCTTGTCCAGTATCCAGGCTCAAGTTCTAAGGACACATGGAGCATTAGGGAGACATAAATACCTTAAATAGAAGAAAAAATAAATAAAGTGGGGATAAGGCTCGGAGAGTTCATTTTTAAAACTACCTGAATGATTTGAATTAAGAAATCTAAAGTTCAAAGTTTTAAAAAAACATACTAATTGCATGTGTTTTCTCATTTACCTAGTTACCACTTATTAAACAATCGGCGTATTAAAATTGGAAAGTTATATAAAATATTTAAACACGAAAACAATGAGCAAGCCATATGAAATCGTTGTCGTAGATATATATCATGTTCATTTCCATCACTGCTTTATTTAAAAGGTGGGCGGCCAACCACCATCCATTCTATCATTCAGTTCATTTTTCCCCCCAGACTTAGATGGCCTTCATAGTGATATGTACTTGTTTTGCCAGAAAACAAGCAAAAATAGACCTCTAGTTTGACTCTCCTCTAGGCTGAGATTCGGGTGTCACGGGTGAGCGCACTGACTTTCTTCACCTCAGTCCTTTTGAAAAAGGAGAGAAGGCTGAACAATCATATTCATTTCTGCACACACAGCTTCCACAGCCCGGAGCCAGCGCGGCTCGCTGACGTGGCTCTGTCGGAGCCGGGCTCACCGCTGACCCAGCAGCGTGCAGCTCTACGAACACACCCGGAGTGTGTCGTGTGAAATGCTCCTGATGTGTGACACCCAGTGAGTGTGAGAGAGCCCGGGCAAAACCGAGCTTTAAAATCCACAGAAGAAAATCTAAGCTTCTGTATTTCTGAGGATTCGAGTAAAAGATGAATGAAAGAAAAGTTGACAGTAAGTAAGCTTCACCTTAGAAATGATGTCACCTCTTGAAAAGGGGAAACATGTCCTAGGGTTCATAGAATGTTTCTGCTACTGGCAGAAAATCCTACCTATAATTAGGTACAGACATTACAAATAAAACAAACAAACGAAAAGAATATTCCGCCCCTCTCCGCCCCCCATGGATAAAACGTACTATGTCCTCGTGCCTCATTAATCAGTTCCATAGATCAATCAGGAATGTCAAGGTATCTTATTCACCTTTCATAAGAACTGGATGGCATTCATCTTGTTATAATTGCCAACCAAATCAGTGATAAAAATTATGCTTTCAACTCCCAGGGTCCTGATTCCTAAGAAAATGTAGGACCTAGTCATATAAGACTTCTAGGATCTTCTTAAAAACAAAAAAATATTGGTCATTCTAAACATCAATACAATTTCAGGATGATTCTTTTTAACCTTTAGTGGCGAAATATTTTACTATATAGAGCTGATGTATTACATTTCAGCAAGGTCAGACACGCAGTTACTGTGGCAATTAATGTTGGATATTCATTGTTAAATTCCCCAAGGACAGCAGTGTGACTCCTGTAACATGAATACCAATGTGTAATTGCTATCTTTCATTTCTCCAAAGAGGTTCTTTTGTTATCCAAGTGAAATAAGCTGGCTGCAGAGAGGGGCATATATTGACAAAAAAGAAAAAAAAAAAAAGGCAAAATGTGGATCTGGGATACTCAGAGACATAGAAACAAATAATTCTGTAAACAGTAGATATGAAAGGACAAAAATCTTTCCCTGGTTTTCCTCTCATAGTAAGCCAATACTCATTTTGTATAAGCCCGCTGTCATTCTGAAGTACATTTTACATTCTATGTGTACGTGATATATGGCATTATTAACTTCCACAGGCCATGCACATACATATGGATGGGAAGGGCTTCTCCAGTGTCTGTGTAGCTAATACGTATTACAGGACTGTGCACAGAGCAGCCACAGTCTGCTGGGCAGGGGAATAGCTGAATCATATTGATGTACTATCAATAGCATCTTATGTCATAGTGATAGTTTCCATTTCAAAAACCTATTAAAAATAAAGAAGAGAAAAAAGCAGAAAAATCAATGTATAAAAGGAGATGTAAGTTATCTAAAATTGCCATGGAAACATAATACCCCTATGTATTATATCTGGCTCTAAAGAAGAAAGGTTAAAATAATGCCTCCCAACCTAACTTCTCTTCCTAAAAAAGAGCAGAGGTACCACGGGTGGGTATGAAACTTTATTTTAGTGCTTGCTTGGTAAGAATAAAAGCATTTAGAGAACTAATGACAGAAAATATGTTTAATGACGAATAGCCATGAAATGCAAGTAAAGCATGAAAACATTTAATTCATTCAAGAAACAGGGAGAGTCTCCTTCGGTAAGACGCCAAGCGGCAAGCAGGGACGAGTAAGACAAATACTCTGCCCTTAAATGACAAGTTAATAGGTTCCGTAACAACCTAAGTCTAACTTGGTGAGCACTCTAAGACGAGGCCAAATGCAAGAGACAGTGCAAAGCCGTAGCCCAGGGGATTCGATGGGACACAAATGTATAGAGAAACTGGTGCTGGTGAGACTGATGAATCTAGTTTCAGACAACTGATGTGTTAGTACTGATAAGGCATCATGCCGTTGATGTTTAGCAGGCAGTGAGAAATTAAGAACTCGGCCCCCTGGATGGAGGTCAGAGACAGAGACAAATTTGTGAATTATTCAAGTTTGGGGAGTGATGAGATTGTTAAAGGGGAACAGGACAGCAAAGGAACTATAAAGATGGAGACAAGGGAAGCGAAAAAAGAAATAAAAACAAAAACAAAAACACAAAAAGTAGGGGGAAGAGGGAGGGAATCGGAGTCATGGAGGAAACCTACTCACAGAGATTCTGGAAAAGTACAACCAAGAGGAGACAGGAGATTCACTGTCAGGAGATTCGCACAAATAGCCTGGCTGATGCTATAAAGTTTCCAAGACGATAAGTCTAAGAAAGAGTGATGACGAGCTCACGTCAGGCCCAGGGGTGGGGAGAGACGTGTTAAGATGCGAGTGAATGGGGAGGAAGTGGACACCTGGGAATGGCATCTGGAAGGAGAGGAGTCAGACTGAAGAGGCTGTGTGGCTGCGAGGCAGGGAGGGGAGGGGGCGCAGAGAGGAGACAGGATCAGGAACACAATGGGAGGGCGTAGCCTCTAAAAGGACTGAGACTGGGTCCTTTCCGAAGTGACCACGGGGAAGAGGATGGGTGAAGATCTAGAACAAAATTAGAGAAAACAAGGAAGATGAGGGAGATCAGATGAGGTGGCGTCTACCTTCTTACTATAGTGGGAACTGAGACCATCTTCTGGAATTGTGGGGTGAAGTTGGTGGCTTAAAGAGAATGTTATTAGAAAAATGGCTTCAGGAGGTGCAACAGGGGATAAACAAGTTATGAAAATAAAGGATCGCCAGGCAGCTCTGTAGACTGCTGAGGGTAGAAAACACATGTGTATGGTTTTATGCCTTTCTGCTGAAGTGCTCAGAAAAGTCAAGGGGAATAATAAATGATAGCTCACCCAGGAGAAGGGCCTGGCAGAGGAGACAACAGTAGGTAACTCGGGGAGGGATTCTGGGCAGCTGTCAGCACACCAAGAAAACAGCTCATCACCACATGGTGTCTGTCTGGTT